GAGGACGGGCAGCGTGCAGTGAGGCGGGCACAGACACCACGTTAAGTGTCCCACCACCACCAATTGACAAGGCAGCCGACCACTGTACATAGCCCTGTCGCGGGCTGTTGTCAGGCACCGCCACACCCTGCACTTGCACTGCCTCACACCTGCTTAATACTACACTACTACACTGCCAGCTGGCCCACGAGGAACCATCTGGCACCCCCCGGAGCACCACATGAGCGGCAGCCTCCGCCGCACCCCGTGGGGCCCAGGCCGGCCACTTCTCTCCGGCAGATGCAAGGTGTCCCCAGCGAGCGTTCGAACCGCCACCGCACTTCGCCGCGATACGAAACCTGTCATAAACAAATCCCTCGCTTTCAGGCCGCTCATTAAACAATAAACCGAGGCGAGGTTCGACAGAAAATATCCCGCGCCGAAATCATCTCGCAATCGATGCTAAGACAAGCAGCAACGACGTGCACGCCGAACGCCCAGGAAAGAAAATGTAGAATCCGCTTCGGCCTAAATCTGTCACTCGCGGTAGCGCATTGCCACACGAACGGTCAAGGATGTAGGCCTGGCTGACCCTCGCGCCCTCCCGCCTCTACGCTCGCCTCACGTGATAAGACAGCGCTCTTTCTTATAGCGGGAAGATGGCCAGTGACAACCCACGTCCATCTCTGGGTCGTCTCCGCTCTCAGTCTGTCAGTCATCCAGTCAGTCAGTCAGTCTGTCTGTCCGTCCCTGACCCTCTCTCTTGTCATGTCTGTCTCTGTCTGCCTGCCTGCCTACCTACCTACCTGCCTGCCTGCCTGCCTGCCTGCCTACCTACCTACCTGCCTGCCTGCCTACCTACCTACCTGCCTGCCTGCCTGCTGCCTGCCTGCCTGCCTGCTGCCTGCCTGCCTGCCTGCCTGCCTGCCTGCCTGCTGCCTGCCTGCCTGCCTGCTGCCTGCCTGCCTGCCTGCCTGCCTGCCTGCTGCCTGCCTGCCTACCTACCTGCCTACCTACCTACCTACTTACCTGCCTGCCTACCTACCTACCTACTTACCTGCCTGCCTGCCTACCTACCTACCTACCTACCTGCCTGCCTGCCTGCCTGCCTTCCTGCCTGCCTACCTACCTGCCTGCCTGCCAGCCTACCTACCTACCTACCTACCTACCTACCTACCTACCTACCTGCCTGCCTGCCAGCCTACCTACCTACCTACCTATCTGCCTGCCTGCCTGCCTGCCTACCTACCTACCTGCCTGCCTGCCTGCCTGCCTGCCTGCCTACCTACCTACCTGCCTGCCTGCCTGCCTGCCTGCCTGCCTGCTGCCTGCCTGCCTGCTGCCTGCCTGCCTGCCTGCCTGCCTGCCTACCTACCTACCTGCCTGCCTGCCTGCCTACCTACCTACCTGCCTGCCTGCCTACCTACCTACCTACCTGCCTGCCTGCCTGCCTACCTACCTACCTACCTACCTACCTACCTACCTACCTACCTACCTACCTACCTACCTGCCTGCCTGCCTGCCTGCCTGCCTGCCTGCCTGCCTGCCTACCTACCTACCTACCTACCTACCTGCCTGCCTGCCTGCCTGCCTGTCTGCCTACTTGCCTGCCTCCCTCTCTGCCTGCCTGCTTGCCTACCTACCTGCCTGCCTCCCTCTCTGCCTGCCTGCCTGCCTACCTACCTACCTGCCTGCCTGCCTGCCTGCCTGCCTGCCTGCCTGCCTGCCTGCCTGCCTGCCTGCCTGCCTACCTACCTACCTGCCTGCCTGCCTACCTACCTACCTACCTGCCTGCCTGCCTGCCTGCCTACCTACCTACCTACCTACCTGCCTGCCTGCCTGCCTACCTACCTACCTACCTGCCTGCCTGCCTGCCTGCCTGCCTGCCTGCCTGCCTGCTGCCTGCCTGCCTGCCTGCTGCCTGCCTGCCTGCCTGCTGCCTGCCTGCCTGCCTGCCTGCCTGCCTACCTACCTACCTGCCTGCCTGCCTGCCTACTTACCTACCAACCTACCTACCTACTTACCTGCCTGCCTGCCTGCCTGCCTACCTACCTACCTGCCTGCCTGCCTGCCTGTCTGCCTGCCTGCCTGTCTGCTTAACTGCCTGCCTGCCTGCCTGCCTACCTACCTACCTACCTGCCTGCCTGCCTGCCTGCCTGCCAGCCTACGTCTCTCTCTTACCTTCGCCGTCATCTTCTCCGACGGCAAAAGGAGGCCACGGGCGCCTTCAAAGCGCCCTTACATAAACAACACACTTGCGCCTAATACCTGCCAATGGAATAAAGACGCCCACGAAGAAGTAAGATGGACACTCAAGATCGTAAAAGGGCTCGGAAGAATTGACCGCGACACTATACGGGGAGACGAATCGAGCCGTCAGAGCGGGGACAGAAAGCCCTTTCCCCTTTTTTCTACCTTTTAGTTCTCTCTGCCCCTCATTTCGATTCATTTCCACCTCCACAGACCTTACGCCATTTCCTTCTTACCCTTTAGCTCAATATAAAACGTTTATCTTTCTCTCTCTCTTTCTCTTTCTCTCTCTTTATCTTTATCTATCTCTATCTCTGTAAAATTGTTTGTCGTCCAATGGACGTAATAAATTTATCAAATCAAAATCTCTCTCTCTTTTCTTTCTTTTTCTTCTCTCTCTCTCTCTCTTTCTTTCTTTCTTTCTTTCTTTCTTTCTTTCTCTCTCTCTCTCTCTCTTTCTGGATACCGCCATTTCTACTTATTTCCACCCACCCACGATTCATACCTATCACAGTCCTCTACTTCTACCCTCAACAGCACCTTCCTCTTCTCTTTTGAGCGGGATCCCCTCATTTCCACCTCTTCAACCCTCCCCCATCCCCCTCCAGTCCCCACCCTCAGCACCCCTCCCTATCCCTTTCCCTTAACACGCGTCCCAGAGTGTCCCGAGCCTTTTTCTTCCCTCTCGTCCCCAGCCTGAGGGCCGCTGATGGAGTCTGATACAATAATACGAGGCCCGAACGAGCGCCCCGCCTTCGCCATGGAGGGGGACGTCTTCATAGGGACAGCTCGGACGCACAAACAACGCCGCGGGGAGAGCGCACGGCCGCGACGACGACTAAAGTGATAAAAACGCATGCACAACGATAGCCGTCAGACGCGCGCGAATTAGGGGAGGTTTGGCGGCGCAGACGACGCGGCGCCTCCTGTCACATTTCGCGGTCCCATTTCACGCGTGTTCTTTGGCTTCCTTTCTTTCTTATATATTATATCTTTTTGTTTATTCTTTGTTTGTCTGGACTCGGTGTTTATTCAAAGGACGTCGCAAATGATGTTATCGACTCGTATTCAGAAGGATTTCCCGAAGCTATCAATTGTTGTTTCTTTTCATCTTTTCTTCTTAGTAAATGAAGTATCCCCAGTAAAACCCTCTCGCCCGCATGACTGCGAGGCTGTGGGGGCTTCAACATGACGCTTAACTCGCATCTCGGATAATATAAAGAAATTACGAGTCGAGGAGGATAATAACTTGTTTGCTGTCGCCATCGGGTTCGTTGTTGTGACATGAATCAAGTAACTCACACTCAAAAACATTGGCCCGCGGGTTGAGCCTCCTGCGGCCAGGGGACGCTCCCATGTGCTTGGACCACGATTACATATATACAGAACTTGAAAAAAGTTTATTTTGGAAAAGACTGCGTATTTATTAAGAGAAACGTTCATACATTTGGTCATAAGCTTTGATACTTTTTAAAAAGAAACAATGATATTTTTTTGAAAGAAGCATTGATATTTTTTTTAAAGAAGAATTAATATCTTCTGGAAGACGAATTGGCACGCAACGATCTATGTCTTTTCTACATGCAGGAGGCATGTTACAAGCACATAACATGCCAAGCATAGTTGCATAAGTATGCTTAATTCTCTCCGTCAACAGCCACAACCAAGCAATCATTGTCCTAGCTTCGACAACACGCATTTTCCTTCTCGTGCCACCTTAAAGATAACGCAGCGCGATCCTCTGACACCTGACACCTTTGGCACGCCCGCAGGAAGTGCCACATCAAAATCCCTGAGCACCTGAGCCTGGCATGAACACCCATTACCGCCGTGGCCTCCTTTGACTGATGCCTGTAATGATGACAGAGTGGAGGTCAGGGTTACATCACAGCCACGCCAGGCAGTGAGGTGGCCGGGTACTTATGCACTCACAAGGTCATGCGTGTGGCAGCGTACCTACACGAATTAGCATCTATGACAAGGACGCACACCGTATACGCAACATATCGTACACATGTACATGCTCAATTCAGAGGTAGCATGAAATATACGCAACACAGCAAACACATAAACATACCCACTTTTACAGGTAGAATATTTACAAAACATGCCGACCTCAGAGATAAAAAAAGACTTCAACGCTACATACCGAACGCATGCTCATACTCACTTCAAAGAATAAAATATGACATATCTTATACGACTTCTCTCGCTTACAGATCTACAAACCGACTACTATCCACTACGAATACCTTATATACATCTTTCTTACCATTCATAAATATCCAACTACACACGATTATTACCCATCTACGAAGTGTCACTCACTATATAGAATGCTGATGTTACAGAAGAGGGACAGAAAGAGAATGAAGAGGGACAGTAGATTGAGGAGGACTGAGAGAGAGAGAGAGAGAGAGAGAGAGAGAGAGAGAGAGAGAGAGAGAGAGAGAGAGAGAGAGAGAGAGAGAGAGAGAGAGAGAGGAGGGAGAGAGGGAGGGAGGCCGAGAAAAAAAATATTCCCGCCCCGGACGCCCAAAATACCCTATACCTCGACGTCGAAAAAGTGCCCTCCCCTGTTCAAGGTCTCCCCCCTTCCCCCCACAGAGAACCCCTCGCGACGTGAGACCGCATGTCCTTTGCATGTCATAAACAGGAACTCGGGGCCCAGCAGGAGGCCAATGCGCGCTAACGTGGCACAAAAAGGTCCATGTGGGTAGCATGACATCAACAACGACAAATAAAGAGAAATAAATAAACAATGGAAACCA